CGGGGGATCTTCGCCTTTGTACGGTGAGCATGGACACGATACATTCTGTGCGTCAACGTACGAACGGCAGAGTCCCACATGCGAGCCCCCCCCCCCAAACTCGCAATCCAGAGACCACTGGCTCCCACCTCGAACTCCCACCCAGCGTAGTAGCACCAAGACCACAACAGAGACACAGAGAGAGAGAGATCACACGTGTCCACGCTTCGCAGACGACGTGGTTGTCAGTAAGGGGACACGTGCTTCGTGTTGTGTTTCTTTGTGTTGGTCAGGATCGTTTGGTGTTGCGTATTTGTGTGATTTTTTTGTTGTAATGCATTAGTTGCACGATGTGTATTCATGTGTTTCGTTGCTCAGGCGTGTGTGTTTTGCATTGTGCGTTCGTGTGTTTTGTGTTCGCTAAGACATGTGTATAACGTTGTGTGTCAGTGTGATTTGTGTTCGCTAAGGCCCCCCCCCCTCCCCATGACCAGCTGGTATATGAATGTATCTATCTATACACATGACAATGTATACCATATCTATATCTTTATACTCTCTACATCACATGATTTGCATCACAGCCACACACACACACAACGAAGCGTGGTGAAAGCTCCGCTAGTGCGACACAGCGCACGTTTAACAACACAACGTGTACAACACGGCCATGCTGTAACTGCATTGACGCTTCGCAGCGAGATATGAGCTTACACTCGTTTATTCATCGCTCGAATTCACTCACGTACGAGTGCCTTTGTGCGTGTAGACACAAAGACAAAGACCCCCCCACGCCACCCGGATAGCCTTTAACAGACTGTCGGGCAAGTGCTGTTCGCGAGGAGCAACACCTACTGAAGGCCGGCACGGCACACGAGGGGGTGGGTGGCCATCGTGACGCGCGGCCGCCTTTGTCTCCCCAGTGGCGATGTTTACTACACACCGCACCAGGTACTCGCGGTCGTCAGGAGCCGGGGGGGGGGTGGGTAGGTGAATACTTGTCGATGGATGTTGGTGGTATTCGTATGTGGGTGGATAGGTCGGTGCCCGTATATGCACAGGCGGGTCCTGATACAGAGTGGCTGTTGGTACAAGCACGTCCAGATAGGCATGCGAGAGCGTAGATATGATGTCGGTGGTAATGTGTAGGCAGCAGGGACGAGCATAGCACGTGCAGACAGGAGACGGAATCATGAATTCAGGGCGCGCGCGAGAGGTGCCGCGCGGATTGTTGTATCACGTGGGTATGGGTTCATCTAGCAGTGGATTGAGTGTGGCCGATGATCATGGTGACGACGACGACTATGCGGTCGCCGAGGTAGGCAAGTCCTCGTGTGGGTCGCCACGATGCTTCACTTCTCACTCGATATATTCCTGATCGCGTCGTGGATGTCTCTGGAGTAGGGATTGCCGGCGAAAGGCACTACTACTAGAATACAAGGTGCGTTAACCTATCCACGATCACACTACATTGCTGTACCCTATATTCCTATAGGGTGTATTTAAATTCCTAATGTCCTACAAGCGAGTTCAGATGTCGCTAAATAAGGGAAGCTGTATTTTTGTGGCTTTGTGCCAAAACAAATTTTCCGGGAACGGCTAAATCCGGCCTGTCCCAGCTGAAATGCAGCACTGGGTAGTCAGGTACGAGTTAGTATAGGTGGGTAGCAGCACCACCACCACAGGTGGATGGGTACGAGTTAGTCCAGGTAGGTGGGTAGCACCACCACCATCGCAGGTAGGCGAGTACCGGTGCGGGTCCGTGTGAGCGAGCACGCGGTCTGACCCCACGTGTCCCTCCCACCAAAGAAAGACAAAGATCCCCCGTATAGCCTAAACAGACTGTTGGGGAGAAGTGTTGTTCGCGAGTAGCACCGATGAAGGCCGGCACGGCACACGAGGGGGTGGGTTTGCCCACACACACGCCCAGCCGCCTTTGTCTCCCCAATGGCGATGTCTACACATCGCACCAGGTACTCATTTGGGGCTGGGTCGATCCAGGGGATGGCCACAACCGGCTCAGATAATCGGCACCGGTGTTGGCCGTGAGCGGGAATCGCACTCGGGTTGACCAGGTTCGTAGCGCGGTGCGCTAACCGCTGCCCCACCACCCACCCACCCAACACCACCCACCACCACCCACCACCACCCAACACCACCCACCACCACCCAACACCACCACCCACCACCACCAACACCCTCCCCCCAACACCCACCCATCACCACCACCCACTACCACCACCCACCACTACCACCATCCACCCACTACCACCACCCACCACCATCACTCACCACCCACCCACTACCACCACCACCTTCCACCAACACCACCACCCACCACCACCCACCACCACCCACTACCACCATCCACCATCCACCCACCTTCCACCACTACCACCACCCACTACCACCACCCACTCACTACCACCACCGACCACTACCACCACCCACCCACTACCACCACCCACCACTACCACAACCCACCCACTACCACCACCCACCACTACCACCACCCACCCACTACCCACCCACATCCACCACCACCCACCTTCCACCACGTGCACGACGTCTCTCGCATAGGCCGACGCGTCGAGTCTTATCGATGAATCGATTCACTAAGCAGACATCTTCACGTGGCCGTCCCTCCGCATGCTGAATACATACACACGAGTTGTACACGTCCCGTCTAACGCACGGCCATTCCCGGAGTGCAACAACGCCAGAAGCATTGCGGTTCAATACAAGCAACGCTCTGGACCGCGGTTTCGACTCGCAGTGTCTCATCAGCAGCGTCGGGCTCGCTTGTTCACATAGTGAACATCCACGACCAAGCTCGCGATACATGTGTGACGGGTAAATCGTCGTTTCCATCGCTATACTTATTGGACCGTATAATGGGTTTACTTGATACATTACTTGATACAGCTATCGTGCTGTGACGGTTCCAACTGAAGACGGAAGCTTGTGTTGCCTCCGAAACGTCGTGATTTTTATTTTACTTTTATTAATTTTATTAGTATTTTTTACCTACGTGACTTTACCGAAAAAACCTAAGAGTATGTACCGTATAATGGGGTTCACGTGACCCCCCTCCAGCCGCTAGAGGCCGCTAGATGAATGTGCAAACGCCTGTGTACTGTGAAGTCATGTTTACCAAATAGAACAATAAAAAAAACCACTGATCTGAAAACATCTTTTGTGGTGTGAAAGTCTCGAGCTCGTGTTATCCGCTCTGTCTCTCCGACATCTTTATCCGTGTGCTGAAGAAGGGCCATTTCCAGAAACGTCGCCCATTTCATCCGTTTTCGTTTAAAGGCCACAGTGTTTATTTACGGATGTGTTGAATTTCGTGTTTAATGTATCCTCCTAATATGCATGCACGCGAGTCATTGTCTGTTGAGCAGCAGCGTGACGTGTGTGTGCGTGACATGCGTGTGCGTGACATGCGTGTGGCATCTGAATGTCATGGGCAAATATCAGCACAATTCCCGTTTTGTCTCGACACGTAAACTAGCAAAATGCGCAATCTTCTACTCCATCAGCCTCGCGTCTCTCCAGACCAACATTGTCCACCACCACCATTCATTCGCGCGGGCAAAGCCTCCGGACAGATTTACACCTTCCGGGGGTCTCATCGGCAGAGTTCGGTTTCGTTAAACGAACATCCTGCCGGGTTAGCGGCCGTCATTGGCAGCTGCGCCAAGCGCTTCGTTTCTCGCTCAAATCGTTTCCTGCCGCCTCGTGTAGCCCACGCGTGCACGTGCGGCCCACGCGTGCACGTGCTCACGTTAGACTTTGTTCGCACCGTACGTAGCCAACCGCGCCACATCGGAGGTGCGCGGACTTCTGGCCAGAGGTCGTGGCGAGAGGAGGTCTACTGGATGTCGAATGCCGGTTCCGGAAATACTGCAGCTACTCGGTTCGCCGACCCGGATAATGCTTCCGCTGATGATGATGATGCTGGTGAAGATGATGATGGTGCTGGTGATGGCGTTGGTGGTGATGATGGCGTTGGTGGTGATGATGGCGTTGGTGATTATGATGATGCTGGTGATGATGATGATGCTGGTGGTGATGATGATGATGCTGGTGATGATGATGGCAGTGATGATGATGATGGCGATAATGATGATGATGGCGGTGATGATGATGCTGGTGATGATGATGCTAGTGACGATGATGATGGCGCTGGTGGCGATGGTGATGGTGCTGGTGGCGATGGTGATAGTGCTAGTGATGATGGTGCTGATGGTGGTGATGATGATGATAATGGTGCTGGTAGTGATGACGGCGGTGATGACGATGGTGGTGATGATTCCGTTGGTACTGCTACGGCTTTAAATAATCCCTTGGCTATCCTACTCACTCAAAAATACACCCCCCCCCCACCCAGCTTAGTACCTGGTCACCCGGTTCGAATCCGGACCCAGGTCTTTCATTCGCTCCTCGCTCTCCGAAAACAACGAAATTCTTCTCTGGAGGGGGCGGGACTGGCGGCATCGTCAATCCGTGTCCCGCTCTCCCATTGGCCGAGCTCACGGGAGCACGTCACTATCAGTCGACTTCCCAATTATTCCGAGAGAGAGAGAACAAAAAAAGCTTTGAAGTAGGTCCACTGCCCGGAACGTCGTCCATTACCCACGCGTTTCCCTTTAGCCGGCGCGCTGTTTCGACGCGCGCGAATGAGGCCCTTGCGTGTTGTCGTCAGCGCTGCACGGACGCAGCGTCACACAGCAACGCACAGAGGTGGATGGATGATGGAGAGGATGGGGGCGATGGGGGGGGATGGAGGAGGGGGAAGAGGGGAGGGGATGGGGGTGAGAGGGGGCGGTGGGGTGTACGGGGCGTGTCTATGCGGATCAGTTTAAACGCGAAGCAGAAATCTGGAAATAAAACATTCGACTGAGATTTTTTTTACGGCCGCCCGTCTCACAACCCCCGCCTCGTATCCCCCCCCCCGACTCCCCCCCCAACCTTGCCTGCCCCCCCCCCCCTTCCTTCCGCCCCCCAACCGCACCCCCTCCCATCATCGTCCCCCCACAAACACAAATTTACGACCATGAGTTCGTTCGTGGCGACCCCGGGCGCGGGACTCGTGGACACGAAGTTTCCCGCCTGCGTCGAGGAGTTACGCGACGACGATGATCATCAACACCACCACCACCAACACCTCGACCACCACCACCAGCACCACGACCACTACATCGCCGACCACGACTTCTACGAAAGCGACGATCTGTGCTCTGCAAACGCAACGGCCACCGCTCCTCCATTGACTGCGCCGCTAAGGGCTGGAGCCCGACACTTAAATCGACAAAATCATCATCATCATCATCAGCAGCAGCAGCAGCAAGAGCAGCACCACCATCATCAGCAGCAGCAACACCATCATCAGAATCACAACCATCATCATGGCCATCATCAAGATCATCATCAGGGCCATCATCATCAGCGGCAGCATGATGCTCATCGGGATCATCAGCTGGATGTGCTTCCCGATTGTGATCAGCAACAGCACCACGATCATCATCATCATCACCACGAGCAGCACAAACAGCATCAGCAACACCAGCACAATAATCACCACCATCACCAGCTGCACCAGCAGCAGCAGCATCATCAACAGCATTACAAGCTACAACAGCAGCAGCAACGACAGCAGCAGCCGTCGCAGGCCCCCATCTACAGCTGCGAGCGAGCTCACGGAGGCGGCGTCTCGGGCATTCTACCCCGCGCGTCGGCGGACCCCTCGATCCTTAGCGAGGGGATAAGCGCTCGGGACCTCGAGTCCCCGGTCCCTTTCGACGAGGGTGACCCCCCTCCTACGGGGGTGGTGCCCGGGCAGCATCAGCAGCAGCCGCAGCAGCAGCAGCCGCGCGGGGCGAGGGAGGACGCGATGGTGGTTTACCCTTGGATGAAGAAGGTACACGTGAATACAGGTAGAGCGGCGGCGTGTGCGCGTCTCTCTGTGTGTCTCTGTGCGCGTTACGGCTCTGTGTGTGTGTGTTACACCTCTGTGTGTTACGACTCTGTGTGTGTGTTGGGGCTCTGTGTGTGTGTAACGGCTGTGTGTGTGACGGCTGTGTGTGTGTGTTAGTGACTGTGTGTGTGTGTTACACCTCTGTGTGTTACGACTCTGTGTGTGTGTGTTGGGGCTCTGTGTGTGTGTCGGCTCTGTGTGTTACGACTGTGTGTGTTACACCTCTGGGTGTGTTAGGGCTCTGTGTGTGTTACACCTCTGTGTGTTACGACTCTGTGTGTGTGTTGGGGCTCTGTGTGTGTGTCCGGCTATGTGTGTGTGTGTTACACCTCTGTGTGTTACGACTCTGTGTGTGTGTTGGGGCTCTGTGTGTGTGTGTGACGGCTATGTGTGTGTGTGTTAGTGACTGTGTGTGTGTGTGTGTTAGTGACTGTGTGTGTGTGTTAGTGACTGTGTGTGTGTGTTAGTGACTGTGTGTGTGTGTGTGTGTTAGTGACTGTGTGTGTGTTACACCTCTGTCTGTTACGACTCTGTGTGTGTGCGTTACGACTCTGTGTGTGTGTTGGGGCTCTGTGTGTGTGTTACACCTCTGTGTTACACCTCTCAGTGTGTGTTGGGGCTCTGTGTGTGTGTGTGTGTGACGGCTATGTGTGTGTGTGTTAGTGACTGTGTGTGTGTGTTAGTGACTGTGTGTGTGTGTTAGTGACTGTGTGTGTGTTACACCTCTGTCTGTTACGACTCTGTGTGTGTGCGTTACGACTCTGTGTGTGTGTGTTGGGGCTCTGTGTGTGTGTCGGCTCTGTGTGTTTTTTAGGGCTGTGTGTGTGTTACGTCTCCGTGTGTGTGTGTTACGGCTCTGTGTGTTACACCTCTGTGTGTGTGTTAGGGATGTGGGTGTGTTAGGGCTCTATGTGTGTTACGGCTCTAGGTGTTAGGACTCTGGGTGTGTTACGGCTGTGTGTGTGTTGGGCCTGTGTGTGTGTTAGGGCTCTGTGTGTGTGTTTCACCTCTGGGTGTGTTAGGGCTCTGTGTGTGTGTGTGTTACGACTGTGTGTGTGTTAGGGCTCTGGGTGTTAGGACTCTGTGTGTGTGTGTGTGTGTTAGGGCTGTGTGTGTGTTAGAACTCTGTGTGTGTGTTGGGGCTCTGTGTGTGTGTTGGGGCTCTGTGTGTTTGTGTTAGAACTCTGTGTGTGTTAGAACTCTGTGTGTGTTAGAACTCTGTGTGTGTTAGAACTGTGTGTGTGTTAGAACTCTGTGTGTGTGTTAGAACTGTGTGTGTGTGTGTGTTAGAACTCTGTGTGTGTGTTGGGGCTCTGTGTGTGTGTGTTGGGGCTCTGTGTGTGTGTGTTGGGGCTCTGTGTGTTTGGGTTAGAGCTCTGTGTGTGTTAGAACTCTGTGTGTGTGTTAGAACTCTGTGTGTGTGTTAGAACTCTGTGTGTGTGTTAGAACTCTGTGTGTGTGTTAGAACTCTGTGTGTGTGTTAGAACTCTGTGTGTGTGAACGGGCGCGGTAGCGGGGAGCGCAGCTGCTGATGCATCGGCCTGCAGCCAGTCGTCCTCTCGGTTGGTCAACCCGTGGCGCCTGCTGAGTCTGCCCCGTCACCTCCTGCCAGCGGGGGCCCTTCGACACTTCACGTCGCCTCAAAGTGCACCTAGCCTGGCACAGGCGTCGTGGTGACGTCGCCGCTCCTTAGTGGTGAACGGCGACTGTTGGTTCGTGTAGCGGTTTTTCGCGTTGCGCTGCGAGTTCGATTCCCGCTCACGGCCAACACCCAGTGACGATTATTTGAATCGGTCCAGGGCATCCCCTAGGTCGACTCAGCCTCAAATGAGTACCTGGTGCGGTCTGTAAAAATCGCCAATAAGGGAGACAAAGGCGGCCAGGCGTGGTCTCGACTAACCACCTCCTCGTGTGCCGTTCCGGCCTTCATAAGTGTTCGTTAACAGCACTTGCCCCAACATTCTGTTCAGGCTATACGGGGGATCTTTGTCTTTTGTGTTTATATAACTGTGGGTGTGGGTGGATATTCTACTTTGTGTATGCAAGGTGGGGGGGGGGGGCATGTGTTTGTGTGCAAATACACTTGCCCCAACATCCTTTAAAAGGATAAATATATTGGTGGGATATTTTTCTTCGTGTGTGTGTCTGCATGGGGATGTGTTTGTGTCTTTATACTGTCGATGCGTGGGCATATCTCCTTTTATTTCGGTTTGTATCCGTGACTGTGTGAGTGTCTTATGTATACGGTTATGTGTGGATGCGTCTGGGTGCCGGGGGGGGTGGTGCATGCATTCTCAACGGCGAATATCTGAACCGGTCCTGGGCTTCCCCCTAGATCGACTCGGCCTCAAATGCCGCGTGTAAACATCAGCACTGGGGGAGATAAAGGCGGTCGGCCGTGGCCACACCAACCCCTTCCAACTGCAGTGTCGGCCTTAATAGGCGCTCGCAAACAGCACTTGCTCAGACTCCACGTGCATCTCGGTGTAGGTGTAGTCTTGTGTCTAAGTGCATGAGTCATGCCATTAATACAGGCAAAGTATATAGGGTGTACGTGTGTGTGTGTGCTTTGTGTCATTGTAGCTGTATATAAGTCACTGGCTACAGATATAAACGAATTCGCTGTGTGCTGTGTTTGTGTGTATAATTATACTGTATGTGTGCGAGTTTGCGTGCGTGTATGTACCGTGTGTACATGCAGGTTTGCCTTTATGGTATGTGCAATTGTGTATGTATTGTGCGTAGAATATGTTTGTGTGTACACGTGTGTTCATACTAGTATATGTGTGAGCATATAGATGATTGTGTGTGTGTGTGTCCGAGTCTGTATGATTGGGTATGGGGGAGCGGTGGTCCAGTGGTTAGCGCGCTACACTATGAACCCAGGCACCAATAAGGGAGAAATATTTCAACCGATCCTGGGCCTCCCCTAGGTCGAATCAGCCTCATGCGTACCGTTGTTTGCATGCTGTTGAACTTTTTTTACGCCTTACCATGTGTAAACGTCAGCGCGTAGTCGTGTGTCGGCCTTAATGGGTGCTCTCTAACAACACTTGTCCCAGCAATCTGTTGAAGGCTATACAGGGGATGATCTTTGTCTTTATATGAGTGTGTGTGTGTGTGCTGTATATTTCGAGTTCTGTAAACGAATGTGTTTTATTACGTGTGTTGTTCTGTGTGTGTGTACACTCACTAGGGTTGTTAAACTATAACCGGTAACCGTGATAAAAAAAAAGAAAACATTACCGGTTCATCAATTAAAATGGGTGAAGGCGCAGCGCCTGCAACTGCTCCCAGCTGCCGAGGGTGATTTTGGCCTACTCTTCCACACTGACCAGAGACGTCATCGGAAGAGGCGGGCGTTACCCACGTGGGTGGACTTGCCGATTGATCAACTTGCTGGGTGGAGAAAGGTGGAGTGGAGGATGTTGAGATTTGCGTGTGTGTGAATGTGTCCGCGTATGTGTGAATGTGTCCGCGTATGTGTGAATGTGTCCGCGTATGTGTGAATGTGTCCGCGTATGTGTGAATGTGTCCGCGTATGTGTGAATGTGTCCGCGTGTGCATGAATGTGTCCGTGTGTGTCCACGTGTGTATGAATGTGTCCGCGTATGTGTGAATGTGTCCGCGTGTGCATGAATGTGTCCGTGTGTGTCCACGTGTGTATGAATGTGTCCGCGTATGTGTGAATGTGTCCGCGTGTGCATGAATGTGTCCGTGTGTGTCCACGTGTGTATGAATGTGTCCGCGTATGTGTGAATGTGTCCGCGTGTGCATGAATGTGTCCGTGTGTGTCCACGTGTGTATGAATGTGTCCGCGTATGTGTGAATGTGTCCGCGTGTGCATGAATGTGTCCGTGTGTGTCCACGTGTGTATGAATGTGTCCGCGTGTGTGTGAATGTGTCCGCGTGTGTGTGAATGTGTCCGCGTGTGTGTAAATGTGTCCGCGTGTGTGTGAATGTGTCCGCGTGTGTGTGAATGTGTCCGCGTGTGTGTGAATGTGTCCGCGTGTGTGTGAATGTGTCCGCGTGTGTGTGAATGTGTCCGCGTGTGTGTGAATGTGTTCGCGTGTGTGTGAATGTGTCCGCGTGTGTGTGAATGTGTCCGCGTGTGTGTGAATGTGTCCGCGTGTGTGTGAATGTGTTCGCGTGTGTCTGAGTGTGTCCGCGTGTGTGTGAATGTGTCCGCGTGTGTATGAATGTGTCCGCGTGTGTATGAATGTGTCCGCGTGTGCGTGAATGTGTCCGCGTGTGTATTAATGTGTCCGCGTGTGTGTGAATGTGTCCGCGTGTGTGTGAATGTGTCCGCGTGTGTATTAATGTGTCCGCGTGTGTGTGAATGTGTCCGCGTGTGTATGAATGTGTCCGCGTGTGTGTGAATGTGTCCGCGTGTGTGTGAATGTGTCCGCGTGTGTGTGAATGTGTCCGCGTGTGTGTGAATGTGTCCGCGTGTGTGTGAATGTGTCCACGTGTGTGTGAATGTGTCCGCGTGTGTGTGAATGTGTCCGCGTGTGTATGAATGTGTCCGCGTGTGTCCGCGTGTGTATGAGTGTGTCCGCGTGTGTGTGAATGTGTCCGCGTGTGTGTATCACGCGTGTGTGTACACACGCGTGCAGTATCGATCTGTACGTATTGTAACTCCGTGTATGGTACCGGTTGGTAGTCGTTGTGTATGCGCCCTTCCATGCACGAGTGTAAAGTATACGTATATATATAGTACACACGAGGATTCGCCGTGCACGAACGCGTTATCCTATCGTCCTATCCGCAATATACACACACACACACGCTACAATAAATCACGTCTATGCACTGCATGCTTGATCCACACGACTCGACTCTGATGATGCTCAAGGAGGGGAGAGCGCCCTGATATTTGATCTACCAATTAATGAACGTCGTCGAGCTTGGAAACAAACAAAATGCACGGCCCGAAATAACATTCCGGACTTCGTTGGG